GCATTGAGGTAATTATGGCGAAAGGAGGTGAGATTGCCTATTAAAATGAGTTTATGTGATCCACAAACGGAAAAACATATCTTGGTCTTATAACCATTTCCACCTAGGCTTTTCTAATTTTCATAATTTCTTCTCATATATTTTGAGAACATTATTTTTTGCGCATAGCGTTGGAACCGTTTTTAAACGTGGTTAAACCTCGTGTAATTAGAATCTCATATTTTCTGTGCAAGAAAAAATATTTGCAGAAAACTGGGTGGTTATATAGCCATTTCCGGCACTGTATCTGACTCAGATGAAACACTGGAAGTACAAACACGTTATCATCTTACAAGAACAATATGATGATTGTAAATATAATAATATAATTAAGTTAAGATTTGATGTTGCTTGCATTCGCCCCGACACCCTCAATAGCGATCCTGTAGTAGAAACAAGAAGGTGCTCTATTGGAACAAGCCTTGCTCGATAACCTTCAATCAATAATGCAAATTAATAATGCAGGACAAATTTTAGTATATGAATAACTATCAATTCGCAGTTTGGAAATATCATGAACTAGACTGGGATCGAGGTTTCTCGTAGCAAACTTCCACTAAACTGAAAATATCATTAATGCTTATATGTCATCCCACTGAAACTATTGTCAAATTAATTTATTCTTCGGGAATAGCTTTATATTGAGACAACTTTATTTAGTATACAGGAAGGGGCCAAAAGCTGAAATATTCAGCTTAAAAATCTGGTAAGCCGTTGAAGGTCAATGATGCAAGAAATGTTTTTCAATGACTTTTGTAAAAAAAATTAAAGCAGGACAGCTTCATCCAAGGTAGATAAGGAATAGAAAGATAAACCTCGTGTCAGTATTTATTGACAGTTGGAAGTTGATTTGGGAGACACAAGTCCTGTCGTTAGACATGATATTTTCAAATGGCGTATTGATTGATCTTCAATGTCCAAAATACTGCGTGTTATTAATGTTCATTATTGATCGTCGAACATCAAGAGCTTTTGTTCCGATGGTGGAATTTTCTTATCTCTATTCCCGAAACATTTTTTAGCCTGTCGCAATTGCAGCTCTGAAAACCCAAAGTTTAGCGTAAATTTTTATGTAAATTTGACGTTTGAAGACGGTCATATTTTTTATTTGCATTTCTCATCAAGGCCTGATGTTTTAAGTAATAAGTTAGTTAGAAATTACTGCCATTTTCATAGTTGAGTTCAACTTTGAGATACTGAGGACAGAATTTTAGTAATTGATTGATGAACTGTTATGGCTAGAATTGTTATCTCATTGTTCTGCTCAAACATAAGATACTTTAAACACCTCGGCATGTTGTTCACATTCTATCACTAATGTTGCACGGTTCAACAAATAAATCTCAACATTATGTCCTGTAATCCTCGTGTCGCGCTAAAAACCAGCGCTTCTATGTCTTAGTGGCCTATAATTGAATAAGAATATCATTTCTATCTGAAGCGAAATATTTGTCGATAGGCGGTGAATGAAATAAAGATAAAAATGAGTAAATGCACTAAATATTATTCCAATATAATATAATAATATATTTCAATAAAATAACCTACAGACCCACAGAGACACACGCGACAGTAAAATGCTGCGGTCCACCTAGGGGGGGGCAGGGACTAGCGCGTCGGCGTGAATATGAAGCTGGAAGAACCTCTTAGCATCAATATATTTGTGTTATATTCCGTTTACTGATTTATAATTGCTTATTAAATATTAATGAAGCAGTTGCACCTCAACAGACCAGATTAACTTAAAAAAATTTTGCATTAAAATGATAAATAAGCTAATAATCGCATTTTTTGCAATTTTCAAAGACCTTGCGGCAGCTCTAGAAATTGTTCGCTTAGAAAATCCTTTGAGGGAGATTGATTTGGCAGTTGTCCGCGTAAAATAAACTAGTCGTATAGCGAATTTTCAAAAAAGTTGATCTAAAAAAGTTGTTTTTCAGTTCTCAATAAACGAAACGGTGCGGCAGTCTTTGGTGGACATGGTTTATTGGTGCCACTGTTATTGGTGGACATGGTTTATTGGTGCGGCGGTTATTGGTGGACATGGTTTATTGGTGCGGCTGTTATTGGTGGACATGGTTTATTGGTGCGGCGGTTATTGGTGGACATGGTTTATTGGTGCGGCTGTTATTGGTGGACATGGTTTATTGGTGCGGCGGTTATTGGTGGACATGGCTTATTGGCGCGGCTGTTATTGGTGGACATGGTTTATTGGTGCCGCTGTTCCTGGTGGACATGTCTTGTTGCTGGCCGAATTTGTTGTCAATTTAACTCAACGAACTTTACATGATTTTCTATTCCACAAATATGTTGTTAAATATCATGAATAAGGTTGTATAGACATGACTAATATTTTACCTGTGCACTTTGAACATATTAGGCCAGTGAACAAAACATGAATGCATACGCAAAATAGTCAAAACTTTTAGTTCAATGAAACGTGTTACTGAAGCCTGAGTCAGTCATGTCCTGAGCAAACTCTTGACTCACTTCAAATGTCAAACTCTTGACTCACTTCAAATGTCACGCGTTGATCTGTCAAGTTGACGTCACTCCACCAAGGCAATTGAAGCAAACGTCAAACATGGTTGACCTTGGTGGTTACGTCATCATCTTGGTTGAGACCAAGGACAAGAAGATCAAGCTTTATGGTGAGTGTTTGGTTTGTTATGGTTATTATGGTATAATGTGTCAAGGACAAGAAGATCAAGCTTTATGGTGAGTGTTTGGTTTGTTATGGTGATTATGATATTTAAGTATAAATAATATTTAATATTCAAGTTGAAGGATTCTCATTTTCGGCTCCAAAAATGACCGCCATGTAATGTGACGTTCATTATTGGCCGCCGCATATTGTGACGGACATTATTGGCCGCCACTTATTGTGACGGACATTATTGGCCGCCACTTATTGTGAAGGACATTATTGGCCGCCGCTTATNTGGCCGCTATAGTCACCTGGTGTGGCCGCTATAGTCACCTGGTGTGGCCGCTATAGTCACCTGGTGTGGCCGCTATAGTCACCTGGTGTGGCCGCTATAGTCACCTGGTGTGGCCGCTATAGTCACCTGGTGTGGCTGACCACAGGGCCAATTTAAAGCAAATATTTATAACTAACGTTGTTTTGACGATGAATGTTGTTCACGCAGGTCTTGCGTAGGCGGCTGGGCTGACATATCTCAAGATGTCTTGCAGCTTACCACGCTGAAGCTCTGATCATGCCAGCATTGCTCAGACCAACGCTCCGTGTTCTGGCTGCTCATAGCCGCCCTAGCGGGCCTGGCACTAACGTGTGTCGGTGCATAGCTGGGCATTACCGCTGCAATCATCCCTCACGTCAATAGCTAATTCTCTATTATTATTATTACTTTCTTTTCTTATGAAATCCCCTAGCTGGAGACTTTTCTCCAGAATGGGAACTAGACTGTATATGCTCTGGGCAAAACAGAGTGGCAGAGCAACATTTAAACTCGCACTGCGGTCACTGGCGTTGGTTTTAGCGCTGACGTATGTTTTGAAGACATCGCTTGCTATTATAAATCTGCATTCTTATCCCCGCCTTCAACTCCTCTCTCAGAGGTTACGTATACTTTAACATCTCGACAACTCTTTACTTTGTAGCAAGCTTCTTCCTTCCAGGCTCGCCCAATGCATTGTCCTCTCGGGGAAAATAAGCATCCGCAACAATTGTGTGATGCCAAGTAGCATCTCCATACCCTCCTGCATGGACACCCAACCGTGCGATGCCATCAATAATAATGTAAACATTGTGTAGGTATTTCCAATCCAAACCATGTATGACTGCCTTCCAATCAACGCAATGGCTGTGAGTCTCCAGACCTTGCAGTCTAAATTCCTCCGAACGCTCATGTCAACAACGCTATAAATACTCCGGTCTACAGTCCTCCAGACACTCGTTCCGATAGCCCTTGAGATCCTCGGGCCCAACCCTTCAGACCCTCGGGTCGCAGCACTTCAGACCCTCGGGCGCCAGCCCTTCAGACCCTCGGGTCGCAGCCCTTCAGACCCTCGGGTCGCAGCCCTTCAGACCGTCGGGCGCCAGCCCTTCAGACCCTCGAAGCTTACACTTCAGTCGTTCATTGGCAAAAAAAAAATACATGGCAGAATAGATGAGAATCGACGTGACCTCTGCAGCCCTCAAGGCGCGCTTACTTGCGACCAACATTTTAGCTGATCAATTTGTCCAACCTTGTTAAATAATTATAAATAATAGTGCTCCGTCACGACTAACAATCACCGTGATCTTTCAAAGAGATCATACAGAATTAATATTTTGAGAACAAATTGAGCAGAATTTTCTGAATATGCATAAGTCATTACTCCTACTCCTCCACTTGCCTGCACGTCATGTCTCCTACTCCTCCACTTGCCTGCACGTCATGCCTCCTACTCCTCCACTTGCCTGCACGTCATGCCTCCTACTCCTCCACATGCCTGCACAATACATATACATCGTGCCCTCCATCCCTTACCCCCTTACAGACGTTACTCCCACCCCACAATGTAGGGAAGGGGTTGGGGAGACGGAGGTTTGCATTGTAATTGCTGTGGTAAGCTCTGCAGCGCTGCCGGTGCTGCCAGGAGCGTCGCGACGGCTGCGGTATGGCCGGCGTCCGGGGGCCGTTACTTCCAATGAAGAATTTCAAAGCAAAGAAACCGCCACGCTAATAAACGCATCTTTATTGAAAACATTTTGGAGACCAGCTCCGTCGTCGGTTCAAGAATTTAGATGACGCAAATGCAATCAACGGAGACAAGCCAAAGAGGTTAAAACCGAAGTACCGAATAAAGCCGAACCCGAAAATTTGAAATCTATCGAAACCGAAACGTTGTCGACTAAGATATGGTGAATTTATTCGGCATTTTTTTATGACAGAAGTTGAAATGCAGTTTGATTAGGTTTTTCCACGGTCACTCAACATTAGAGTTTTCGTCCACAGGCTCACCCGCGGACAAAGCTGACTTGGAGGTCGGGGATGAAATCCTGGAGGTGAATGGACGGAGTCTGGAGGATGCCACCCACACGGAGGTCATCCAACACATCCACCAGGTGGCAGCTCTTGACCATCAAGCTTGAACCTCTTGTTTATAACGTTCATCACATCGAAAATTCGTAGCTTTGCTCATTTTCTACTGCCATTAAATTCTTACCCCTTGCATTATAATACACTTAATCATTATAGCCCGTTATCACTCCTCCGTTCGTCCATTGTACCTTCCACTCACAACTGCCTTGATGTCCTCCACTTTACTCACGTTTTCTTTCCTCTTTTCGTTGCATGTTATTCCTTTATTTGCATTTGCATCCAAACAAATGCATACTTTGTGTTCTGTGTATTTTACAGAAGATGCCATATTTGTATAGCTATGAACCATACATTTTGTTTATTAAATGAGCGCCTTTACCACGTTGATTGTTCTGAAATCTTGGAAAAGAATCGACGAAGTCCATCCTCATTGAACTCATTTGCAATACAATGGTCCTTAGTTGCTACGACTTCAAAAAGTTTAATGTGTCATTGTTTACATTGTAATCCTTATCGATTTCTTCATGTTCAATTTTTTTTATTTTTCTTCTATTTATTTTCAGTGCATCAGGTCGCGCACGATTTGCTTGCGCGTCAAGCGGAGGCAAGGAAGCAAAATTGGTGAGTCTGACCATAGACATTAGTTTTTTACGTCACTTTCGTAAAAAATGAAGCTTTCGCTGGTCAACTATCATAAACTTCTATTTGTTCGCACCCTAAAAGTATAGTTTTTTTCGGTATTGAAGAATAGTCCTTTGGCCTATTTATGTACTTTTCCCGACTTGTTCCCAGATCTAAAAACTGGCCTTTTAACCAAATCTTTCTAATTTACGGTGGTTCGAAATCGTTACTGGACTTTCATTTATTCTGTACGGTACTAGGCAACTAGGCATTTCAAGACTAACAATGAACACATGCTCCCGCATAGCCTTGTCTAGTCTGTTCTTGAACGTGCTAATACTCGGAGCGTAAACAATATCATCAGAGAGGCTGTTTCACATGTCGGTGACTCGAAGCGAGAAGGATAAAGAAGTTTTTTCTCGTAGATGAGTTTGCAACTCAGTTTTTTCATTTATATCCATGGCCCGTGGTGTTGATCCTGTTTCAAATTCTAGTAATCCTTCGGGGACCTTGTATAAACCATGAGTATACAGTATACTTGTATACTTCAATGAGATCACCTCACAGACGTCGATGACAGAGACTTGGAAGCTTCATAATCTTTAATCTTTCTTCATAAAATTTGCTATTTGAGCCTGGAATTATCCTTGTGGCGAGTCTTTGAACACTGCCCACTAAATTTTTGTCCTTTTCAAATTGCGGTGATCACACGGCGTTTCCAAACTCTAGGTTGGGGCGCACAACAGCAACAAACCAACTGCTTCATCGCTTCTGCATCTAGGTACTCGTATAGGAGCACATGATCAGCCCGAGCAGTTTATTGGATTTATTAACTTTCGTTTCAATATGCCTAGAGGCCCTAAAGAATTTAAGCTCCTAGTCGACATAAACTCTCATATCTTTTTCCGATTTCGACTTTTCAATCATAACTCTTTCGTTGCAACCGTGTCTTCTCATACGGTAATCTTGCTGTTCTTTGTTCTTGCTGAGGTGAAGTACTTAACACTTTTAAGCATTAAAACGCAGCTGCCACGTATCAGCCAGTGAAATAAACTATCAAGATCATCTTGAGGGTTCACTTTGTTTGACGCATCCTGAACCGCTCATATGCAAGTAACCTGACAAATATTTTTGAAAATTCCATACTACCACATGGAACTTGTATATTGTCTATTAGAAATATAGATGCATCGAGTCTTTTATTTTTTTTTAGAGACCAAGACTGAGAGAAGGATGCAGACTAGAAGGGCGTACGATACGACGTTTATTTCGCTTATCATGGTTCAGGATGGTATGTAGTATGTTATTAGGATACCATGGTTTAGGATGGTAGTGTGTTATTAGGAAGATAAGGCCACCACCCACTGCACCGCACACCGCCACCCACTGCACCGCACACCGCCACTCTCTGAACCGCACACCGCCACCCACTGCACCGCACACCGCCACCCAAGCACATCGCCACCCGCTGCACCGCCACACACTGCACCGCACACCGCCACCCACTGCACTGCACACCGCCACCCACTGCACAGCACATCGCCACCCACTGCACCGCACATCGCCACCCACTGCACCGCACTGCGTCCGCGCGAGTGGCGCGACGCTTGCATTCCTGGCGCGCGTGTCGTTGAGTTTCGCTCACGTTGGTTGCCAAGCTTTTCGATCGTTCCCTTAATTACTTCCTTGTGTGTTGCTTCACTTCTATAAAATGACCTAAATAACTATAATGTGTAAAAGTTAAACCAAAATTAATTTTTATATCCAAAAAGCAGTTGTTTGCTTTTGAAGAGACCGATAAGATTAATGTACTTTGCTCAATTCTTCTCCACTTTCTCCATTGATAAATTTCACTCCGGATTTTCTCGTAAAATTTTTACCGAGTTTGATGACAAACAATCAGATAAGAACATGAATATGAATACTATGAATACATAAAAGAATATTCTATTATGTATGCATATTCATGTTCTTATCTAATTGCTTGTCATCAAACTCAAAAAAAATGTCAACTCCCTTGTATTCATCCTGTTACCATCCCAGCCCGCAGAGATTTATGACGTTTTCAGTTAGTGTACGTGATCTCCTCGAGACATGGCATCTGATCAACATTAATTTGCTAGTTTGTTATACATGCACATGTTCATTCATTGCAAGGCATTTATTTCACTGTAGATTTTCATTTGCCCCCAAGCTTTAGTTCTCGCGTAAAGAACGCTCCTACAGTGTGCATTGTACCCTTAGTGCAGAGGTCATGCAGTAGCGGCCACGAAGCTGCAGCAGAAGATGCCACACCAAGACCCTAAGTTCCGTGGCTATGGGGCCTGACGGGAATTTCTGAATAGAAGTTGTTAATATTTTACTTGGTTACTGTCTGTCGCCTGCAATGAACGTTAAAATTGAATATTTTAGAAATAACATGTAAATAACCCCGACCATAGCGGCAGTTCCTGGACCTCAGACAACCGTGAAAAAAAAAAGCAATATCAACTCTTGCTAGAAAAAACTTATTTTGTCAAGTACACAGTAGAGCTGTGCGTATATCTCTAGGGTTACCTTGCCTATAGATTTCAAAAATGACTCTTACGATGTCATACAAAAATTAAATTATTTTACAAATGAAGAATTAATAGATTGGAGCCACTTTGCGAAGCTGTCTTTATCTCATGAGTTCCATGAAGTTCTCAGCTGAGATGGCATCACAGCTGCCCGAACGAAACGAACTACGGCTGGCTCAGTGTGCTTCTGGCGGCGTTGAAGTGTGTGTGTGCGCGTTGCTTGGTTAGGCGAATTCTGCGCGCAGTGACTACAAAGTGAAGGGAACCACTAACCTTGACAGCAAAAATGAAATTTCTAAACCCTGTGCCTTGAGCTACAAGTGGAACTCACTCGGGGTACTAACTGTGGGCGTATGATGTCGTAAATTACTATTGATGAAGATGACGAAGAGAAATAAAGCGTGAAGAGGTACGTGATTTAGCTGCGGCTGCAATATTACCTGCAGCGTGTGCCGGCCGTTACTCTGCAACGTAAACGCCATGTCGTGTGAGCCGCGTGAACGGGAGCACTAACCCTATCTTTCTCGCCTGCATACAGCCTTTAGGCTGCATACCAGTTAAATAATGCAGCGTTGAATTCATCAAAAGCTTAAGCAACAATTTGATTTACCTTCTCCATGCACGAGTCTAAAAATTGTCTCAGCACGATGAAAGATTTCGAGTGAAAAGCAAGTGCTAAATGTGGAATGGAAGCGCTGAGGTATGGCCGCACACAGCTCTGCACACACGACACTGCCTGTAGGGGCGTCGGGGCGCAGCGATAGCATAACGCGTGGTCAGCATTTGTCTTACTTTTTCATGGTGAGCGAATTGTGCCACTATACAGTTATCATTAGTGAGGAAGATAGTGAATTAGATGGTAATTGTATCACATCCCGCATAATGGATTGTCATTCGTAAGCGAGTGCGGTTACAGTGAGTGTACCGTCACGGTAGGAACACGTCTAGTGCCACTCATGCCCTGTCCTCGTCACGGTAGGAACACATCTAGTGCCACTCATGCCATGTCCTCGTCACGGTAGGAACACGTCTAGTGCCTCTCATGCCCTGTCCTCGTCACGGTAGGAACACGTCTAGTGCCTCTCATGCCATGTCCTCGTCACGGTAGGAACACGTCTAGTGCCACTCATGCCCTGTCCTCGTCACGGTAGGAACACGTCTAGTGCCACTCATGCCATGTCCTCGTCACGGTAGGAACACGTCTAGTGCCACTCATGCCCTGTCGTCACGGTAGGAACACGTCTAGGGCCACTCATGCCCTGTCGTCACGGTAGGAACACGTCGTTCTCGCTCACGATGATTCTTCCAGTTCTGTTAGCTATATAAATGTTCGCTCGCTCGACGTTCAAACGTTTCACAACGTTCGCCGCACCGTTGAAACACCTCCCAAGCGTTTATGAATTTCTCATCAGATGGAAAAACTTTATCACATTATATAAACGTCAAAAATCTAGTGTAACAAACAATAAAGCATTCCTACAATTACCGACATGTTCCAAAACGTTTACCTTGAACCTTGCGGGTTTCTGTACCGGACTTATTTTGGCCCTGAAAGCCCCTAGACTTCTACCGAGAAATTCAAATGTTGCCGAATGTTTGCCTAAAGCTTCAATATTTTCATAATTTAAACCTTGAATTACAAACGTTTGCAAACGTTCACTTTAGAAACTAGCCTTTTTTTAATATTAGCAATTTTTTATATTATACGAACGTTCGACGCAACTGCACGACTTTCTTCTTACCCATTAAAATGTTTCCCATCGGGTAATCAATTTCAAAGTTCGTTCCATGCACAAAATAGGCTTTAATGTTCGCATCAAATGTCCTGAACGTTTTCCATACGCCACCTCCTCCCCTCACGGTCACGTCTCAACGTCTCCCCGGTCTGGAAAACATGACGTTTGTAGCCCACCCTTCCCCACCCTGTCTCCCCATCTCTAACTCCCTACTACCTTCTTCCCACCATTTCTTCCCCCAATCCTCCCTCACTACCGAACCGCTCCCCCCTTTCCTCCTCCACTCCCGCAACACTCACCCAGTCCCCCATTGTCCCTCTCCAGCGCACGACCTGGCGGCGACAGCGAACGTGCAGGACGCCTTCGTGATCGCCGTGGAGCAGCAGGCGCGGGAGCGACTCGAGCGCCTGTCCGCCCTCAAGAAGATCAAGCCTGTGGACATGACCAAACTCCCCCAGGCGGTGGGTGATGTGGGAGGTGTGGACGTGACCTAACTCCCCCAGGGGGTGGATGATGTGCTCCCCCAGGCGGTGGGTGATGTGGGAGTTGTGGACATGCATAAGTGAGGTGTGAGGGTAAGATAATACCGCCTAAACTAGGTATGTGCGTTAATAAGATGAATGGCAATATGAAGAGTGAGAGGAAGGCTAGTGTAGAGAAGCCAATGGATATAAAGTAGACATGGCGAAGGGGAGAGCGAGTGAAACGTGGGGGAGGAAAAGTGTGATATTTAGGGAGGGATAGAGTGAGACGTGGGGAGAGCGTGAGATGTGGAGAGGGAGAGCGTGAGATGTGCGTAGGAAGAACGTGAGATGTGGGGAGGGAGAGCGTGAGATGTGATGAGGGAGAGTGAGGACGGGGCGAGAAGGGACGTTAGGAACGGCAATGAAAGTGAGGGGTGGGAGGGTAGTGTGGCTAAGGAGGAGGGAGCGGGAGGCTAAGGAAGAGAGTGCAGGGGCGGCCGTTACAGCTGCGCGCGTGACGCCATCGTCTCGGCGCACCAGCAGCGCTACCTGCTGTTGTTGTGGCAGCCAGCGCCACCTCTGCTACCTGCTGTTGTGGCAGCCAGCGCCACTGCTGCTGCCTGCTGTTGTTGTGGCAGCCAGCGCCACTGCTGCTACCTGCTGTTGTGGCAGCCAGCGCCACTGCTGCTACCTGCTGTTGTTGTGGCTGCGGATCACACGAACCGTTATTTTGTGTTGCCACTATTATGGTGTGTGATTGTGATGCGTGCAATGAGTGTCATGGTATAATCATTATTCATAATGTATTAGTCATCTTTGAAATCAATCTATGCGATGACGGCCGTTAATATGATGATTGTGTCAGATGGCACTATTGTCGGGAGGCAATATTGAGCGCCACCTGATATCATATGTTCAACCTGAACCTGAGGACAGGGTTTGTTGACCAAGTGAGTGAGGGATAAGTAACGACTCCCGCCTAGTAGTGCGGTCTCACTGACGTGATGAGTACTTCAATGCCATTAATCTATTTCGCGTCTAGTGGATATTGCGTCTCAATTGCCGATGATATAATCTTAGGATATAAATATGTATAATGAATAGAAGGAGACGCCTGATCGTGGACAACTCCACGCATTCCCATAACTTATGCTTATAATTGGACATTGTACGTGGCACAATGGTCACACATGGTAATCATTGTAGGTAATACAACGATTTCAAATAATGCTTTTGTTGTACGTGAGACAGTGATTGTATGCAGCACAATGATTGCAGTGATAGCACGATAGCACGGCCCTGCATGTACCGCGCAGCGCCGTGCGTGTAACGCGCAGCACCGTGCGTGTACCGCGCAGCACCGTGCGTGTACCGCGCAGCACCGTGCGTGTACCGCGCAACGCCGTGCGTGTACCGCGCAGCACCGTGCGTGTACCGCGCAGCACCGTGCGTGTACCGCGCAGCACCGTGCGTGTACCGCGCAGCACCGTGCGTGTACCACGCAGCGCCGTGCATGTACCGCGCAGCACCGTGCGTGTACCGCGCAGCACCGTGCGTGTAGCACGTAGCGCCATTGCGTGTACCGTTATGTTATCTCATCAGCAGCATTTTCACGTGACATTCACACCTTCAGCTCGTATCTCTTATCTCTTGCGACTTTTACAACTTCACGCGGCGTCCGCTGCTCTGACTGTTCGAGGCTTTTGGGGTCCGAGGTGCTGCATGGAAGCGCTGGGGTTTGGGTTCTGATACCCTGGATGTGTAGGGCTCTGGGGTGTGCATGAGGTACTGGATGTGCTGGGGTTAGAAGTCCGAGGTGCAGGAGGACCTGTTGGGGTTTGAGGTCTGAGGTGCTGGATGTGTTGGGGTTTGATTGGTTTCGTTAGTGCGCCGCCTTGAACTTGAACATGCAACCTAAATGCGTGTAGATGAGTGGGGCTGGCAGATCACTTTCAAATTATTGATGTTTATTTATTTTTTAAGTCCTACAAAAATTGTTGAGTAAATTGCGTTTGTGTTCCTTGCTTTGGTCAGCAAATTGGGAAAAAGTGGAGTATACCACTTGCATTATCAAAGTTGTGGTTCTATCTTAAAGATTGGAAGCGTGGAACAGCCTTCTAATTATGAACTTATTTGCGAACAGGAACAAGAGAAGTCGAGAGTTCCAACAGACGCCCATCAACAGGAACAACAGCAAGACACGGAGCCCAACAGCGCCCCGGCAACAGGGACAGCAACAGAAACTAGCAAAGCTCGTCGTAGCAACGGCGTCGACTCGTCACCTCTCTACGTCACCAGCGTCCCCAGCATCGCTACGTCCTCAGACGTGGCACGTCGTCACCCCGTCAGTGGTGAGTGACGTCAGCTGCCACGTCACTTGTGGCACAGCTGATATAACACATCCATCATCACTGACCAAACACATCACTTGTGCTACAGCTAACGTGCCACGTCCATCATCACTGACCAAACACATCACTTGTACTACAGCTAACGCGCCACGTCCATCATCACTGACCAAACACCCACAGATAGTGAATTAGATGTTACTTGTGTCACAAGTGAGTACGGTTAGAGTGAGTGTACCGTCACGGTAGGAACACGTCTAGTCTTGCCACTATTATATATGGTGTGTGATTGTGATGCGTGCAATGAGTGTTACCAGCGCCTCGGACCCTAATGTTTCACGTCCATCATCACTGACCAAACACGTTGCCCAGGTGCCGTGGGCGACGTAGGGACGGCCGTGGGCGACGCAGGGACGGCCGGGGACGGCGATGCCTACAGGAGCGGGGACGAGCTGGAACTGACGCAGGAGCTGCGCGGCGACACAACTGACGACGACCTCGGCGACGAGGGCGACGGCAGTGACAGCGAGGCGAGGGCACGGCGACGAGGTCCTCGCAAGGGACGAGGGTCTCGACGCGCCCCTCTGACCCGCCACAGGGACGACGAAGGACGACAAGGGGCGCCGCGGGACGACGAGAGGCGACGGGACGACGCCGTGGAGCGCTCACCACAACACAAGGCCGAGGTGGGCGACTCTGCTCTATTGCTCGCTATAAAAGCTTAGAAATCTATGGGGAAATAAAATAGATCATATAAAATAATTATTCTCAATGTTAGTTTTCATGCGCCGCTGTTCATATTTGATCAATGTATGGTAGCAAGTTAATAAATTAGTTACGGAAATTAATCATCAATGTATGGTAGCAAGGTAATATATTATTACTTAAATATCAATGTATGGTAGCAAGGTAATAAATTAGTTAATTAATCATCAATGTATGGTAGCAAGACAATAAATTAGTTAATTAATCATCAATGTATGGTAGCGACTTAGCAAGTTAATAAATTAGCCCCAGTCTGAGGCATTAACAGCCCCCCAATACCCCCAGGAGAGCGGGGGCGCCAGCGACGAGTCGCTGCCCGCGACGCCCGAGAAGACGTACGGGCTCGTCACGTCCCCCCGTCCCCCACCATCCGCCCCAGGGGGAGACCATAAACCCCCACTCACCCCCACCAGTTCTGGAGCCAGCACCAGGTGAGTGTAAACTGGGGGACGGGCAGTGAGGGGACGCGTGGTGCAGTGAGGGGACGCGCGTGGTGCAGTGAGGGGACGCGTGGTGCAGTGAGGGGACGCGCGNGATGCTCTGGCACTGCAGGTCTGGAGATGCTCTGGCACTGCAGGTCTGGAGATGCTCTGGCACTGCAGGTCTGGAGATGCTCTGGCACTGCAGGTCTGGAGATGCTCTGGCACTGCAGGTCTGGAGATGCTCTGGCACTGCAGGTCTGGAGATGCTCTGGCACTGCAGGTCTGGAGATGCTCTGGCACTGCAGGTCTGGAGATGCTCTGGCACTGCAGGTCTGGAGATGCTCTGGCACTGCAGGTCTGGAGATGCTCTGGCACTGCAGGTCTGGAGATGCTCTGGCACTGCAGGTCTGGAGATGCTCTGGCACTGCAGGTCTGGAGATGCTCTGGCACTGCAGGTCTGGAGATGCTCTGGCACTGCAGGTCTGGAGATGCTCTGGCACTGCAGGTCTGGAGATGCTCTGGCACTGCAGGTCTGGAGATGCTCTGGCACTGCAGGTCTGGAGATGCTCTGGCACTGCAGGTCTGGAGATGCTCTGGCACTGCAGGTCTGGAGATGCTCTGGCACTGCAGGTCTGGAGATGCTCTGGCACTGCAGGTCTGGAGATGCTCTGGCACTGCAGGTCTGGAGATGCTCTGGCACTGCAGGTCTGGAGATGCTCTGGCACTGCAGGTCTGGAGATGCTCTGGCACTGCAGGTCTGGAGATGCTCTGGCACTGCAGGTCTGGAGATGCTCTGGCACTGCAGGTCTGGAGATGCTCTGGCACTGCAGGTCTGGAGATGCTCTGGCACTGCAGGTCTGGAGATGCTCTGGCACTGCAGGTCTGGAGATGCTCTGGCACTGCAGGTCTGGAGATGCTCTGGCACTGCAGGTCTGGAGATGCTCTGGCACTGCAGGTCTGGAGATGCTCTGGCACTGCAGGTCTGATGTGCTCAACGTTGCGCTCACTCGAAGACAACTAACTATTTGCTCGTTAGTTTTTCCATCGAATTGCCTCCCATTGATGTTCGTGTGGAGATATACCGACCGAGATGTTGTCATGGCATGAATATCAATGCTGAACGTGTTCGTCGTGACCAGAGATGCACTGCATGACATAATGCGCGATTTTTTCTTGCTTTCGATTATTTCGCTGCTTCACTCAGTCTACACCTAAGTCATAACTTTTTCCAAGACAACCTACATTTTGATCCTGTTTCTTCGATCATTTCATAATGTTTAGGAATTCATTTCCGTCATTTATAAACGTCAAATGAATAGAAATGATGCTTTGGCTGCCATCACGTTAACATCAATAGTGTAGTCTGCCACGCAAATTTTTCTTTCGTTAATTATTTATATGAAAACGATTACTTCGACGATTGGGCCTAACTTCAATAAATTCAACCCGCGCTAAAAATTGACGAAATAAATGATGTAACATGTGGGTGATGTGGCGCAATAGATGAAATAATGTACATTCATCGTAAGGAAGCGCAATGCGAAATGCGTTGAGCGAGGCTGTAACAGACCCAGCCGTGGGTCTGTCCCAGCCAGTTCAACGGCATACGTGGCAGTTCAACGATTGTGATGAATTAACGATGCTTTCATCGTTTGGGTATATTATAAACTATTGCATGTAATTCTGTGCATGGATTCGTGTCACGTGACCCGCAGCGTATCATCATTTAAACGCATAAGTAAGAGTTATTGTTCGACAGTGACTGCATTACTAATTGAACAATCCAATACTTCCCCGCTGTACTCGCAGCGAGCAGCTGCAATTCTTCCATATATTCTGCACTGCATGGCCACTTATGTAGCTTCTTCTGCCGTGAATTCTGCGGACACGGTTACATTGAAACGAAAACTTTTCGACCGGGACCCAGCCTCAAATTCAATTGGCAGATGCTAACCGAACCATGTCGTGGCCATATTCGCCTTTCTAGGTCTACCACGCCGATCTGGCGAGTGGTTAGGATCTCTAGATTGGAGCTGAGCGTTTAACGAGTGGTTAGGTTAACTCGGACTGGAGCAGAGCGTTCTCCAGCGGCGGGTAGATGTTGAAATTCAGCGAACTTCGGCGACAAGCCTCGCATTGCCTACTGCCGTAAAACATTCTAGTCAATGATGTAAATAATGGGTGAGAATGACTTTTTATCCACATATTTCCGGTGTGAGTATATGAAATTATATAAGAAACTGTTACGCGGCTAGGTTTGTGTAGGTACAAAGGCCGCGTGCCGGCTGACGTTAGTTGGTGCACTGCTAGAAAGTTGCTACCGCTACGCCGAGCACAGTATCACAGCGCCAACTCTGCTGGGTTGTGGCTACCACACTGAGCACACCCACAGCGCCAACTCTGCTGGGTTGTGGCTACCACACTGAGCACACCCACAGCGCCAACTCTGCTGGGTTGTGGCTACCACACCGAGAACAGCAACTACTCTGCAGCAAGGTTCCGTGATCGATTTGCAGTAGTGGTGGTTGGAAACATTGTCGAATCAAGCTTCAATGTATTCTTCTTAGATGGCTTTTAGCTCCTGGTTGAAATTGTCATCTGGCTTTCCGCATTAAATGTACAACCAATTTATTGTATATGTTCAGATAGGATGAAGACACTCTTCTAAGTGATGGACAACCAGAAATATTGTACTCCCTGGGGCTGACGTACACGATGTGGACAGACGTACAACTTCTTTACTCCGTGCAGCTCTACTTAGCTTGCAATAAACAGTGCAGTACAGTGCAGCTCTACTTAGCTTGCAGTAAACAGTACAGTGCCGCTCTACTTAGCTTACAGTAAACAGTACAGTACAGTGCAGCTCTACTTAGCTTGCGGTAAACAGTACAGTGCAGCTCNCGCCCCTGCTACACACGTCCCTGCTACACACGCCCCTGCTACACACGTCCCTGCTACACACGTCCCTGCTACACACGTCCCTGCTGCTCCTGTCTCTGTTGCACTTCCGGTATTCGTCACTGGTTGGTGTCGCGGAATTTGCCTCGCCAAGCACCCAACTATCGAAACCAGCGGCAGAGTCGCCATAGTTAGCAAGATGAACCGCAGCGACTGTCGGCCAGGGCGTTGTGCGGGGGGAGGAAGACTACAGGTATGCTAAACCCCCCACTTCACCCCAACTCACCTGCCTCCCACCCACGTAAACCTGCCACCAACCGACGACAGGTTGCCTCCAGCTTCAGTACCTAGCTAAACGCCAGCTGGTGAGGGTGTGTGTGTGCCGCTTAGTTTCCTGTAACTTTCGACGCCGCTAGGCCGATCCTTCCTAACCACAGGAATTTAGCTGCTCCAGTGACGACATTCTACCATGTAAACGATGGTATTGTGAATTTTGTGTTGTCATTAATGCCTGCAAATCGGAACGTATCGACATTAGTTAGAACAAGCGCATTCTGAAATTTGAACTGAAGTAAGGAGTGTTGAGAACTCCTAAACTTGGTCGGTCGGTCAGTGGCGACGGCATGTGCTAAGTCCTGCGGAAATACTGCGTTGTCTTGACTTCTGTTGCTCTTAGCCTATGAGAGGGAATTCTTGCTGTTTGTATTCCCTATTCAATTTAGCTGCCATCATAAGTACTTTTGAACTCAATTGGTGGGTTTAGCTTGATTGAGCATAGTTCGCCGGAAAAGTGGCAATTAATGCTAGGCTTCTAATCGAACGAGATTATTATCAAGCTATCTTCTAGAAGGTTGCCGTGCGAAGCTTAGGCGTCAGCTTTGGTCAATGGCCCACTGATTGTTTCGCACTGTTCATGCTAGGAATACTAGTCAGCTCATTGTTTAGTCAACTCAGAAAATATGAATATTTTGCTTAAGTGCTTAACACTTTTCTAAATTGAGTCGTTTTGAACCGTTGCACATCTGGACTTGGTGCTTAGTCAGACTTCAACACCAGCTTCTTATGCTATGGGTATGTGCTCTCTGATGGACCTTTCATGAATCGGTAATCGAAAATTCAAGAATCGAGATGGCCATTGAAACTTTTGTTTTTCTATACTATAATTATCGATTCTTGGTATTACAAATACTGTTTTTACTTACAGTCCTGTGGTATGATTCATTGTTTTTCCAAGAATTGTCGGAATCGTTTCCCTTTGAAAGTCCGGTGCAGTCGCTGCTCACCACCGAACATCCCTGCGTGCTACTGCTAATACTGAATATTTACCGCTAATATGTAATTTTATTTACATTTCTCACTTAATACCCTGGTAATTAACAAATTAATCAAGTGTAGCGTTTGCATTCAACGGCTGATCACTGAGACCAGGCAGGAAGCGTGGGGTTGCAGCTGCTAAGCGTCGCCAGACTATTTTGTGTCCGGCAGAACCGTTCATAAAACCAAAGTGTTCGTGTTTATACCACCTGAAAGGCCATTGCGTACCTGTGGGTTGGTACCACGTTTCGAGAACTACTGTTCTGTTACTCTTACCACTGATGTTTCTTTGATGCAATTGTAAGTTTTATTCGTGATTTCTGCTACGAAATGAAATGTCCTCCGTTTTCTCTGTCCGATTAGGTTAGAACGTTAGATGGAAGATCTTTACCTGCTTGGGGTCCTGCAGTACCTTGCTCTTGTCGTACGCTTAGCGATCGTCACCACTGAACGTACAATCGCCTCATTATCAGCTTCCGATCAAATCTTTATTCAACTAACGATCGCCTCATCATTCAACGTACGATCGCCGCATTACTCGTTTTACAATCGCAGCATTTTTCTACTTGAATCCTGCATTTTCCAACTTACGATCGCCGCATTATTCGTCTTACAATCGCAGCATTTTTCTACTTAGGCTACTTCCAACTTAGATCGCTGCATTTTTCAACTTAGATCGCTGCATTTTTCAACTTACAAGCGCCGCATTATTCAACGTTGCATTATTAATGCATTAATAGACTTGCATTATTATAATAGAGACTTGTGCAAGTCTCTCATCACCCACGAGACCCTCT